TACGCGTAAAGTTTGTGGAAAACGGTGAAACAACCTCTGTGACCGACAGCAGTGAATTGACAGAGGTCAAAAGAAAAATCATTTTCTGCAGCCAAAATCAACTTTTGTTTCATAATACCGTACTCATTCCAAATCAGTCAATGGAAGATTGCATAGCCAATTGGCTACATCATCTCTTCGCTGAGAGACATTGGTGTTCATGTTACCTTGACAATATACGACGGATGTAAGTATGATGTATGTATAAGGAACTTCTTTAGCACCGTACGTAGCCGAACGTGCTTAACGGAGGTGCGGGTGAAGGACTACAAAATAAACAGAACACGCAGTTCTAAAGAAATTAGTTCTCAATTTAGTACAGTGGTGGAGTGCAGAATGTAGTGTATAGTTTGTAGTGTATAGTAGTGTAGTATATAGTATAGTGTTTAGTAGTGTGTATGTTGATGTATGTTGAATTTCTTTGGCATCGTACGTAGCTGAACGTGCTAATTGGAGGTGCGGGGAAAGGATAAAACAAGCAGTTCTAAAGAAATTAGTTTTAAATCTAGATTTTGAAAGCGCTATAGCTCCAGTGGCCTCCTAATATCGGAAGGAAGAGCGTTCCAGACGGCCGCAGAAACGCGTCTGAAAGCGCGCGACGTGGCAACCGTGTTTGTTTGATGGCCAGCCATGGTGATGTAGTGAAGAGATTCGTTAATGTGCCGGATCGAGGTGGATTGTGGCATCACGGAACCGGGTGAGATCGCAATGGTGTGCAGACGCCTTCTTCCAGCAGTGGAGAGACACTTTCTGTATCCATAGTATTGATACTCCTAACAGTTCAAATGAAGACAATTGAACATGGTGTGATCAGCCAATAAGAAAGCGAGCTGTTTAGATCGTATGACATGCCGATTACAGCAACGACCCGCAAGGTATGTGGAGGGCCTTCATCCAGCAGTGGCATAATAAAAACGACCCATACACATGGTACGTGGGACCAATCAATGTACGTCCAACGTTTGTCCAATGGTTGCAACCCAAATGGCCACGTTGCATGCTTACTGGGTGGTTGTACATGTACACATTTACTGACCTCCAGTTAGCGCGGTTGGCTACGTACGTACGGTGCAAAAGAAGTTCAACATACAAATGTACATTCACTTGCTGTGCACGTCAGTTCAAGAGAGCCAATGTGATATTATTCGTATTATTATTCTTGAAGTAAAAATGAGACCCATACTGAACCGATCGCGTAGCCCCCCAATAAAGTATCATGCACATTTTGCTTTCAGTTCCCGATCGCTCATTGGCTGAGGTGTAGAAACAGGTCGAGAAGAAAGGAGCCGCTCCGCTCGGAAGACTCCACTTGCCAAATGCGATCTGCTTCTCGTGAAGCCTCAAATTTAGCTTCGTGGCCCACTGGCCCTGAACGATCATCGTCAGAATGATAAAACCAAAACTATTGCAAAATAAACTTTTTTTTTACCAGGTAAGGCCCACTGAGCTATTTAGATATGTTTTACAAGAGCGACCTGGCCACAAATGATAGCTCAACGAAGTGGCTTGTCACGTGGAAATGTATAGCGGCAGCCAAATAAGTTTGAACGCGTGATGTTGATTCTAAATGTGGAGGGGGAAAAACCTGAAGACCCGGAGAGAAATCCACGCGATCACGAGAAGAGAGACACGCAAACTCCAAGTGTCAATGTGGGGATCGAACCCGCGACCTCCTGCATACCAGGCGAGGTAGTTAACATCTCGCCACCGTGCGATATAAAAGTTGCCGCAGTGAAGCCGCTGCGTGTTTTTGCCCATTCTCTAAAGATAACAAACCCAATAAAGCAAGTCCCCACGGGTGTGGAGTCGACAATCCAATACAGCATTCGTGTAAAGCAGAATTACATTTGTCCACCTTGTACTCTTCAATTAGCCTCACAAGTTCTCCAAAGAAGTTTTCTATTCGCTGGCAAGGAGCGGACACTATCCGTTTTGATCTCGGCATTGATCAAGCGCCGTTGCAAGATGGTACGGCCGCACGTGCAGCGTGATTGCTTTCCCGATCTAAATTATCCCGTGATCAGTTTCCTGATGTAAAAGAATGTGAACACTAATGAAAGCGAGCCTTAGCGTCTTTAAGGTGTGATTACTTTTGCCATCAATATTTTAAAGCAATTGTAACTCTGTCTCTCTGCCTCTCTCTCTCGCTCTCCGCTAAACCTCGCTGCGACCACAAACACCGTGGCTGCGCATTTATCGGAATACCTGAATAATATATGAAGCAGTTTTTTTTTCATCACAGATAAAAGTAGTTGAGGCGTTAGGTAACAAGCCGCCGTGAGATACTATGCCTATGAATGTTTAGTGTGATACATAACTTCAGAGAAGGCAATGAATTGTGCCAGATGTAGTATTTATTGCATATTTGAAATGCTAATAGCATTTCAGGGCGGTTTTTTTCCAGGTTTAAACTGAACATACTTTACCTGAGATGAAAACTATACACTTTATTGCATATAAGCAATTTAATCTGGAAATACTGTGCAATCGTTCACGACATATATTTTATCGTACTTTCTCACTTTATTGCGCCTATGGCGAGACAGCGATGCTTCATGTGAGAGTGTGGAATGATAAGCCTCATCGTCGGACTGCAGTCCACCCAACGCGTTCTGCACGAACCTCTCGTCGTGAGACGAATGCGCCACGAACCGTCATTAAGATTTAGTTTTGAATGCGCTCCTCACGTGGAATTCATTTTTCCAGTAACATCCATTTGCGTTATCGGTATCAGCGTGTCAGCCTTGCGCGTGAGACCCAGTCACATCGCTTAGGTGGTAAACCATTCTATTCGCCTCGAACAAAAGTTTCCGTCGCTTGGCAGTCATCAGACAAGCAATACGCACGAATTCATACATTAATATATCTAGTTGCTGTTATGACTGTGCAGTGACAGCCTTGATTTATCCGGGTCCTCCGGTATTTCCCTCCACATTTAGAAAACATGCGTTTCGATTATTTGGCTGCTATAAATGTCCACATGATAAGACACTTCGTTGAGCTATCATTTGTGGCCAGGTCGCTTCGGAAAAAAGAATCAATAGCTCGGTGGGTTTTTACCTGATGAAATACAAATTGTTTCGGTAAATTATATGTATGTATTAGTAGATTGCATGCTTACTCATTCACTCGAGCATATAAACATTTGTTTTACATCACCACACATATGTTATGATACTCAAACATACGAATTCGTGTTAACTATTCAATTACATGTCGTACATATTGTACAAAACATTTCACAGTTCTGGTATATGTTCGACAAGATCCGAGCACGTATTGTTTGAGTAGGTAAGGCGTTCTGCTAAGGATAGGTGGACCTTATCTATTATTAGTGGACACTCTTAATAGAGCGCGGGGAGTGTCTGTAGTCAAAACTGCAGTATCTATTTCATAATTGCTCGGTTTGTTACGTCTGAATAACACGGTCTAGAGCACTGCAGCTCATGTGGTGTATACTCTACGTTTTGGCTCTGCACTGTAATTGGCAATAATTGCAAAAACGTTTGACTAAAGGCCATCTCAATTGTATTAAACACTCTGCTGATCTGGATCCAATTAATTAGTGTTCACGTCAAATCATTTGTTATAAAACTTGACTGAAATATGTGTAATAACTATGAGAGCCCTGCATACAAACATCTGTGATGTACATTATGATAATTATAATGTTGGCAGTGACTTCACACGCAATGAAAAACTTGCGAACGGTACCCATTAAATGGCCGGGTGCCAATATTTTAACCTCTTTACCGCACACTGATACTCAAAGATAATCACACCAATTTATTTTGAGAGAAAAAAATGTAACTTAAAAAAAACGTTGATGTGAGAAGGGTAATTTCAATTCAGCAACCTGCCACTGAATGGCACCTCCGATTAGCACGGTTGGCTACGTACGATCCGAACAGAAGATCAGCATGCATACGTACAACTGGGTTTCGTTGAAAAGTGAGAAACATAATGGTTACTTTTCGATTTAAAGCTTTCGTGACTGCAGGGATTCATCTTCTTGGTTCTTTCGGTAAAGTCACGTAGAAGGGAAATAATAAAATAATAAAAATAAAACATAATAAAACAATTCTCACGACGTTGCGGCCACAACGCAAGCAGCCGTCCTCAGGTGAAGAACAGGTCTGTCGGGAAGACAGCGTCTGAATGAAACGTCGTGAGAATTATTTTATTATGTTTTATTTTTATTATTTTATTATTTCCCTTCTACGTGACTTTACCGAAAGAACCACGAAGATAATGGTTACTGGGCACCACATAAAAAGGCTTTCCAGCCTCCCCCCCACTGTGTTATTGGTTCTTCATACGTGATTAGGCCACTCAGGAGCTTGCTGCGGCCTCAGGGTTGAGGGAAACACTGGCGCAATTTGCCTTGCTCTTTATAAAAGAGGGATGGTGGTTGGCAAGCACGAGGAGCCCAGACACCGGGTACGGAGAGACAATCTGTTGAGCCGCTCGTGCGATGTTTTGTTAAGAATCCGTAATAAATGTGAAAACCAGGACAATTAAATGCAATGTGTTTAAACATTATAATTGCAACACACGATGCGACGATGCCTTGAATAGTTTAACAAGTAAGAAATAAAGCGCTTGAATAACTTACACCGTAATACTGCAGTTCTTAAGGTTCCTTAAAAAAACACACACACACACACAATCTTCTTGGTTCTTTCGGTAAAGTCACGTAGAAGGGAAATAATAATATAATAAAAATAAAACATAATAAAATAATTATGTATAATATTTTATTTTTGTTATTTTATTATTTCCCTTCTACGTGACTTTACCGAAAGAACCAAGAAGATGAATCCCTGCAGTCACGAAAGCTTTAAATCGAAACACACACACAATGTTCAACCGTGGTCCATGTCGAAAAGTGTTCGTGCGGCGCTTGCAGGTGGAGCGCTGCATTCACCCTGACGACGTGCGCACGGCGTCTGTGCCCTCAGATATGCCTCGAGATGGAGAGGTATCTGCAGAGTGAGCCGACCAGCTGCCGCCCGTCCGAGCCGAGCACGGAGGTCCACGAAAGGCAGCCGGAAGCTGAGACGCCGCGCGATCGCCGGTGCGCGTCCAGGGAGCCCGTGGAAGCCGCGCCTGGACCACCCGCTGAAGAGGAGAAAAGGACAGAGGCCCATGACGTCGTCTCGCCAAGCCCGGCAGGATTTGAGAGCGACTCGCCGGGACCGGTGGACGCAATGGACACGGCCGCCGCCGGCGCACTTTGGGATTGTTTGGCCGACGTGTCGGACTGCAGCATGAGTGACGATCTGGAGTTCCCGATGCCGATCACCATCCTTGCTCTGCCGGGCAAGAGCCAGGACACGGAGGTCCCGACGGCGGAGGTGAACGCGTCGACCAGTCTCATCACTCCCCCGTCGTCCCCCAAACTGGAGCGCTGCGGTCTGTCCGCGCCGACCGTCTCGCCGTGCGCCACCGGGAAGCAGCAGGAGTCGTCGCTCGTGCCGGCCGAGAGGGGCGTCAAAGAGGGCTGGGCCCCGCGGAGGCTGCGCAAGTTCGGGGGCGATGGGAGCGGCGATGTGATGCAGGACAGCAAGAAGAGGATTCACCGCTGTCTGTTCAGCGGATGCCGCAAGATTTACACGAAGAGCTCGCACCTCAAGGCGCACCTCCGCACGCACACAGGTGGGCGTCCTGTGCGTGTTGCGTCCTCGCCGTCGGCTTGGGTAGCCGCGTTCTCTGGTGCTCGCTGTGCCCCCGTCTGGCACCCGAGACGAGAGTCGGTGTCCTCTGCAAAGTTGGATGTCGAGCTGTGGTATTTTTACGACTTCATACCGTGTCAGCCCACACAGTTTATACCCCGTATTCTTGAAGAGGGAAATTTAGTTTTCAGGTCCATATGGCGTGCGGCCGTTTCAATACGGGCAATTTTTTGTTATATTTTTTTGTGTGTTTCTCCCTTGTGATGGAACTTTGCAGGATGAACGTTGAGATTTATAAGGGCACGGGGTGACCAATAAGGTCTGAATTGGTCTGTAATAAGGTAGGGCACTGATAAGGGGTTGACAGGTATGTTACTTAAAACAAATCTAGCAATTTAATAGTGCGAAGCTGGAAAGATTTACGAATCTATGCGTCGGCCAGTGGGCTTAATACTTTGCGAACTCCGTACACCGTTCCCGGCATGAATGATGTGAAATCTCTGCATTTGGACATCGCATTTGCAAACAGGCATGCTTGAGGAGGAAGGGCCATCTTGGCCTGAGACACGATAGGGCACTCCGGTAGTTGTTTTGGCAAGAAAAGGAGGAAGCATTACCCAGCGACTGAAAAGACGCGTTCTCCTTTGCACTTAACAAAGTAGCGCATTTAATATGCATGTGCATGCACCCCCGTCATGCATTACCTTAACATTGGTTAACTTGTATTCAAGAGACACCAAAATCGGACCTCAATATTGCTACTGATCAACACGTTCAGCAGTACACTGTCGGATGGCAGCCTACCCACATGTGTGGGTCGTGGCGGTGAGATGTCAACTACCTCTCCTGGAATACAGAAGGTCGTGGGTTCGATCCCGATCCCGACCCTGACGCCTGCTGTATATTTGGAGTTTGCGTGTCTCTCTCCCCGTGGCCTTGTGGATTATTCTCCGGGTCCTCTGTTATTTCCCTCCACATTTATAAGCACGCGTTTAGACTTTAGAGTATTTTGCTGCTATAAAGTTCCACATGACAAGCCACTTCGTTGAGCAAACGATTTGTGATAACCAGTTCACTTCTGAAAAATATAGTGATAAGTTAAAAAGTTTAGTTTCGTTTTAGCGCTATACTTCACCACGCTGGTCAGTGCGAGGTGGTCAAAAGGCAGGGAGCAGAGATGCACGCGTGAGCTGACAAGCACAGGACAACAATGGATTGCTGCCGCACTGCCACCTGCGTGTGTTCTTTGATGCACTTAGTTTAAATGCGAATCTGTGTTCTTCAGCCCGGCGTAGATAAGGCCTGATGGTACCAAAGGCGCGGCAGTGTTGATCGACCCCAGCAGGGACAGGTTCGCTTCAACGGCAAGGAGTGCATCCCCTCAGATTCCCCAGTGCTCGTTAACACCCCCGCAACATTCCCTACACGTGATCACTCTGCTGTGCACCCACCCCCCCCCCCCCCGTCGCAGGTAACTTAATTTGACAGCTACAAGCAAAACAGCGATTGCAACACACTAACCTTAACCTTGAGTGTGTGAAATGCTGATGTCCACCAGCACATAACTCCCAAATGTCCTTGTTAGACGCGCATTAGCATAAATATATGGCGAGTTATTTGTGCTGCTCGAGCAAACCCGAGCGGGGGGGGGGGTGCTGGGGGTGGGGGTGATGGTAGGGGGGGGGATGCCACCCCCTTGGGACCCCGCTGGTTACACCTGCACGGAATTGGGACCCCACACTGCTGCCCTGTCGTGCACAACACTTGGGCGGACGAATGCCGTGAGGGCCCTGCATATATATATGTGTCAGATGGGGAACTTCAAATGCATTGCCTCGTTGTCAGTGCTGCACGTGGGAGGGTTGCTGCCTGCCGTCTGGCCCACGTGTGTACGTTGCGGAAACTTCGAGTGGCTGAAGGGGCCCTTCTGCTCCTAGAGGCAGCTCTAGTGGGTGCTTTGGTTAACTCTTACACGGCAGATAAAGCCGAGTTATTACGCTTGCTTACCCGAGAAAGCCTCTCGAAGCCTCGTGACTCGTTTCGAGGAGGGTCCTGGTAAGTTTTTTCAGATGCAAGCGATTTTTTTTATTTGGCAAATTCGGCCCATGACGTCGGCTCTCTTGCGAATTACGTCGATGGATCTTTACCGTCCACAGCCAGGCAGACAGCAACGTATTTAATTTTTGTGGGGTTAATGCGCATGCCGCAGTATTGACCAGGGCGGACGCTGTAATTCGAACCGTGAACCTCTGCAAGAAGCGGGCGAACGAGCTACCGCTAGGGCCACGTGAATCTTGGAAGAGTTGGGCGGAGCTGCACTTTACACATTGCCGCTGCTGTGAGCTGGGATTAGAAGCAGAGACATCTCTTGGCAAGTCGGGGAGATCGCCCCGGGCCCCGCGCTTTGGGGGGGGGTAGTTTGGAAGGCGTCGGAGGGCCGGCACGGTGGGATTTACCCCGTGCCCCCCTATGTAGGGGTAAGAGATTTGAGAAACTTGGCCAAATTGTTCAAATGCAGCGCCGGGAGATAGACTCCAATCACGTGCTGCTCAACCAACACACCGCCAGGGGACAGCTCCCAGCAATTCTCGGTTAAAGAGGTAAACACGTTATGTGTGCTGCTACACACCTCTACGTGTGCGGCAAACTTGTGGCGGTTTATATCGGAGGTTTTCAAACGGTGACCATTTTAACAACCCTATTACACTTAATCAGGTACTAATTTAAGGCTGAGTTGACCTAATGCAGGCCCAGAACATTTCTGGCTGGGACTCGAGCCAGGCCATACTTTACACACACAAAAGACAAAGATGCCCCTCATAGCCTTAACATACGTTTGGAGCAAGGGCCATTAGCGAGCACCTATGAAGAAGGCCAACACTCCGCAACGAGGGGCTTGGTGACCAGCACCACGCCGGACCGCCTTTGTCTCCCCAGTGCTGATGTCTGCGCACTGCGCCAGGTACTCGTTTGAGGCTGAGTCGACCTAGGGGAGGCCCAGTAAACATCACTGGTAAGTGCAGTTAATTGGGAAGCCGTGACATAGTGTAATAGCACGATGATGAACCAGGTGACCTGTGCGCAATTGCCAGCCAAATTTGCTACCATCAGTAGTATCTTGTGTGTGAACCAGTCGTGGGCATCCCCTATGTTGACTCGGCCTTAAATGAGGTGGTATGAGCATCAGCAATGGTGCCCACCTGCATTCCAACACGTTGAAGGCAAGGGTTGGTGGATGACGTTTAAATTGGTGAAAATGCCAAAACCCGATATGTTGCGAGATGGCACCGACTCGCGAGTTGGTTCACAGACCTCTCACAGGGAGATGTGTGCACTTTGTATGTACGATCACAACAGTGGCCATTCAAATAGAAAGAATTGCGTCTTATCATGATAGATGTGGAATATCGGTCGATTCCCACTCACGGCCAACACCAGTGACGATTATCTGAACTGGTCCTAGGCCTCCCCTAGGTCGACTTAGCCTTAAACGAGCACCTTGTGCGGTGCGTAAAAACATCGCCACTGGGGAGACAAAGGCGGCCGGGCGTGGTGCTGGCCACCCACTCCCTCGTGTGACGTTACGGCTTTCATAGGTGCTACTCGCTAACAGCACTTGCCCCAACAGTCGGTTAAGGCTTTACTGGGGATCTTTGTCTGGTATTTCCGTGTCTATCTGCCTTTAGGCGCGTGTGTATTTGCTAACATGTCCGGCCAGCAGTGAAGAGTAAAAAAAAGAGAGAGAAAGAGAGAGATTCGAGGGACTGGAGAAGGAAGAGAGAGAGAGGAGAGATGAGAGAGAGAGAGAGAGTGGTGACAGATGCTCACGTTGACCAATCACAGAGCTCCTCGCGAATCGTCCTCGCGCCGTCTGGGGGTATCGTCGAGTCTATTTATTAAAATGTTCCATCGTGTTATTACAATTATCATTTTTTGTTTCGTATGTAACAGGAATAACACCCGTGTTTGAAAAACGTACTCAGCCGTGGTGGTGCTGGTGGTGGTGATGGGTTTTTTTAATATTAAATTAAGCTTCCGAGAAAAAAAAAGAGTAGACCAGAATACCCTCCAGCTTCCTCGAGTGGAATTCCTTCCAACAGCAGCGGTGTGAGCTATGGAATGCAGGGGGGCTGCGCCCTAAACCACCTTAGTTGAACCCACACGCGCCACTGTACAGCGTGGTCTAGATGTGTTGTGACCCCCCCCTCCCCACACTAATTTAATTCTACAAAACGTATTTTTTTTCAAGTAAGGATTTTTAAACAGAAATTAATATGAAACGGGAAAAAATGTTCGGGGTCAATTCAAGACCCTTCTGAAAAAATAATTTACAGTCAACGATGCACTCATGAATAATATCAACTTTACCGATATAATTTTCATCATCACCAGCATCCGACTTTTGTTTGCGACTGGCTGCACAAACGTTGTGCGCGTTATAAATCAACCTTATTAACATCACTGTTATTATCATCTCTATCCTAATCAGCTTCATCACCATCAACTTCATCTTGAGAGACAGCGTGTGTCCGTGTGCGTCCATTTCGTGGCATCTGACCCTATTCCCGGAGCTATAAGCCAGTAAACATGGAAAGTTGGGCCAACATTGGTCCAACAGTTCCAATCACACGTCAACTTTGGCTCAACGTTGCATATTTAATGCGGAGATGCAATAGGCTCGTGATTAAAAGTCACCAACAATGGCAGGGTCAAAAATCCCGACGCGTTTTACAGATGGGTTCCCGTGCCTGTTCAGTGTTTCCTCAAAGGCTGTGCCCTTCAACGTTGATTGATGCGATGCTTCAATTACCTGATTCTGCCCTAACTCCACCCTGAGCCCGTCCACTTTGAGCCTTTTCATGATTGCAGAATGAGGGGCAGCGGAGAGCGATTTCCTACAATTGGGGAACTTGGCCTGACCGGAATGGCGTGATTAAAATGCAGTTCAAGTAATGTATTGATCCTTTTGTTATTTAATGTTAG